ATGATGCTATCCTTCAGTTGTGGCGGCTCCGCAGAACTGCAGCACAAATGCCTGTCGGTGGACTTCGGGATATCTTGCGATTCTGGAAACACCATGCCTTGCTCCAAAAGCACTCGCGACTGTGCCGTAGAATCAGCCAGCGTGCCAGGCGGCAGCGGCTCCTGCTACAGCTCGAACAGGCGGAAGCTGCCAGTAAGTCTCATCGCAGCCGTGAGCTCTTTCAAATAGTGCGGAAGCTGGCGCCTAAGCAAGCTTTCAAAAAGGTGCAACTGCGTGACCATGAGGGCCGGCTCCTTAACGACTCTCAGGGGCTTGACCTTCTGGTTGAATATAGCAAGGCCACCTTTGCTGCTGAGCCCCCCTTCCCTAATCCCTTTAAAATAGAGGATCCCATAAGCTTCACTGCTGAGGAGTACGCTACGGCACTTCTCTCACTCAAGTACCACAAAGCTGTGCCCCGTGATTGTGCCCCAGTGTCTGCGTGGCAGCTGAATTCGGAAGCATTGGCGATGCATGCTGCGTTGGCTTTTCCCTCCATCTTGCCTCACAACCAGGTCCCGCAGTTTCCTCATGACTGGACGGACGGGAATCTCGTTTGGACTACGAAACCCAACAAGTGTCCCAGCCACCCTTCGAGATTGCGACCTTTGTGCATCATGGGCACGGAAGCGAAAACAGTCGCGGTCATGTTGCGTGCTCGCCTTCTGCCGTTTGTGTCTCCTTATTTGTGCGACACTCCCCAGTTCGCCTATGTACCTGGTCGTAATGCCCTTCACTGCATAGCTGCTGTGCTCTCTCACTGTGACGAGGTCAGGCTCAAACTCCAATGCTATACTGAAAACCTGCACCGCAAACGCAGCATGAGCACTACCCACGCAAAAAGTGAGGAGTTCGGAGCTTTGCAAGTGGCGCTAGATCTATCAAAAGCCTTCGACACTTTACGACGCACACATGTCGCCGCCGCACTGGCGGACGCTCTAGTGCCTCCTGCTCTGAGCGCGGCTGTGCTAGGAATACTCCTGGGCTCATCTTATCACTTGGCCTCGGGCCCGCACGAATGCATTCTTGCCACAACCAACGGCATCAGGCAAGGCTGTCCACTATCTCCGCTGTTGTGGTCTCTGACAAGTGGCTGGCTTTACAAGAAGCTCCAAAGCTTTGTTAAATCGGAGACGCTAGCTGCCCTCTTCATCTTTGCGGATGATCATCATGTTCACTTCACTTTCCACGACACCAAAGGTTTCTACGATGCCCTACGCGAGCTGGGCAATCTTCTCCACGGCCTCACTGACCTTGGACTGGTAGCGAATGCGGATAAGTCTGTTGCGCTTGTTGAGGTGCGAGGCCCTAAGCTGAAGAAAGCCCTGAAAAGGCACACCCAAGTCACGCGCAACGGCAGTAAGCTCCTCGTTCCCGTAGCAACTGGCTATGGCATGACAGGCATTCCCATACAATCTTGCGCTAAATACTTAGGCATTTACATTTCCTATCGAAATTACGAAACGGTCACACTTAGAAACAACATACGCAAAGCGCGAGCACGCCATGCGCAACTGAGAACGCTGCTCAATGGCAAAAGCCTCCTGTCACTGCGGTCGCGCGTCAGAATATGGCAGGCGTGCCTAGCCCCTGTTTTTTATTATGGGCTCCACATTGTCGGACTCACAACGCAAGGAGTGCGCGAACTGCATGTTGCTGTCACCAAGCAACTCAGGGCATTAGCTGGCAGTCCGGTTCACCTAACCCATGAGTCCACTGAGCAGCTCTTCCGCCGGATACGTGTCGAGTACCCTTCTGCCTTCTTGCAGCGTGTTCTCTCTCGCCTTCAACAGGCTACACTCGCAAACGCCGAATTTCTGCCTACACGGCACTTCGGCCCTATTCGGGTGAGGCTTGAGGCTGCTATGGGCTGGTTCTTTGATTTACACAGCCGCCCCCAGAATGATTGCATTGACACGGAGGCTGCTGAAACACACCAGTGTACTGCATGCGAACGCTCTTTCACCACTTACAAGGCCCTCAAAACGCACTGTAGGCGTAAACACCCTGACGCACTCAGACCGGCGCAGCTTGAGGCACGGTCGTGCGCTAGTAATGGTATGCCACAGTGTAGGTTTTGCCATCACAAATTTTCAAAGTGGAGCGTCTTTGAAGGACATGTCCGGCATCTTGCATGCGCAGGCCTGCGCGCTAAGGCCATGTGTGGCCAGTCCAGTGCGAGTGTACCCTGCCTTGATCCTGGACACTCAACAACAGCCTCCTTTACTCCTGTGGAAGGTACTTTGCTGCACAAGGCCGCCGAGTGCACTGAGTTGTCCTTCAGCGTGCCGTGGGATTTCTTCAAGCTCCTTGCCACAAGTGAACAGCGTAGGGAGTACAACACGTTCTGTGTCTTATGCGGTCAATGGACAGCTGGCCATGGCGCAGTCAAACTGCACTGGCGACGCATGCATGCCACATTGTGGAGTTCATTACGAGAAAAGGCTCACCAGCTCGTCAAGCGCGCCGACAGACTGAAGGGTGACCCAGTTGCTTCCAAGTGCCATACGTGTGAATGTCAACTGCCTGTTAATAAGCGTCAACATCGCCTCCGCTGTGCCGCAGCCTTCCAGGCTGCTGCTGTCCAATCCCTGCTGACGGTGCGTACTCCGGCTACTCCCACGAGTGCTCGCCCAGACGATGCAGAGCGAGTACGCCCAGCAAATGGCGAACACATGGGGCGGCTTGATGGGCTGGGGTTCTGCAGAGCCCCCGTCGCAGCCTCTCCAGCCTCCCCGCCACAACCGTTTTGCCTTGAGCAGCCCGCCCTACAACCAGGAACAGAAGAGGGCCCGTCGAGACTACCGGGAGATGGACGCGGAGATGGCCTGGCTACAGGAGACCCCAGCTTGGGCGCAGGAGACCCCGCCATTTCCACGTCAGCAGGACAACGACTTGCTGAGCATGGTGAGGTTGACAGCGAAAGTCACCATCTCCCACGAAGACTCGCTCAATATGACGAAGGCAGACCGAGGATTCGTTCTCTTCATCTACTCCGGCCAGACATCGCTACTTCCAGCACTGCTGGCCATGTCCAAAAACTGGAACGACAACCAGGGCATGGTAGAAGGCCAGTGGACGCCTCTACGAGTTGTTCTGCTCCGCTGCATCTTCCACGAGCCCCAGACACGCTTTACCGCTTTTTCGGGCGACCAGGCCAAGAAGGACGAGGCCAGCCAGAAAGGTCTCCTGAAGAACGGCATGTGGCCGATGTTGAAGTGGTGTCCGGACAAGCAAGATATGATTCCGGACGAGCATCGCAACAGCATGAGCATGGAGGAAACAGCTCTAATCCTGGAGAACATCATGGAGGACCTGAAGCGACCGCGAACCGTTCTGCGCTTCCTAAGCCGACCAGGGCTTACGGAGCAGCCTCGAAATGGCAGGGCAGTCATGCTGTTGGAGCTGAGCCAATGGGAGCAACGCCTCCACACCAGCTTCCTGAAGCTGTGCGGGCACACCGTGCTCACGCTTGCGGCGATTCAGGTGAAGCCGGAAGGATTGCAACGCAGCCCAGCCGTGCAGGCACTACAGAAGATGGTCTACGGCGGGCAGGGCAAGGGACAGAGCAAAGGTCAGAACAAAGGCAAGGGAGCAAGCGGCTCTCACAGGAGACGCTAAGCCGCCATCAGGCTGCGGTTGCCGCGCCTGGGGAGGCACAGCGCCTTGCAGGCTACTCGGACGCAAGTCTGCTTGACCGACCGTTGGAGAATCCTGACAATTTGTGTTACGCCAACAGTACCATTGTTAGCCTCCTCTGGACTGCCTCACGTGTCCCCCTAGGCCTTCAAGTCTACGTACCCCAGGCCCTCAGCGATCTGAGCCACACACTCTGTGCTGCCACTGAAAGGCTAAGCCTGTCAAGGGTGCTACATGAGCACCTCGTGCAGTGGCCAGATTTGCACATGCAGCATGACGTTTGTGAATTTTACGCTTTTGTTTCTCAGAAGCTGGCTCCAGTGCTTACTGCAGGTGAATGGATCGCGCGGCTTCGCGATGAGGATGGTATTCATGAAGTTGAGAGAGGCAGCACACTACAGCCGATTCAGCTGTTGAACCCGCGCCTTACGCATCTCGATGCCATGGTGCATGATTGGATGCAGCAACGAGGCTTGCAGGCTTTAGCCACACCTCCCTCCATTCTTGCCATTGCCCTCCCTAGATTTCAGGAGTCATCTGCAGGATATGTCAAAACTCTTGCTCCGATGCAGGTGCTACAGCCGTTTCTCTCTTTCCCGGCTTTTACTGGCCACGGACTCACGCTTCAGTCACTACAGTATCGACTTTGTGCCTGCCTCATACACGATGGCCTGACACAGCATTCAGGTCACTACCGTGTCATCTTGAGTGCAGCAAATGATGCCTGGTTCCTCAAAGATGATCATCGGCCAGTTGCCCTGCTTACTTACTGCCAAGCGCAGGCGCTCTGTGAAAGTAGAGGCTACCTCCTTCTGTACTGCCGAGCTGATGATCATGCTGTGTCTTCGACAGGCATTGCCTAGCTGTCTAGCTCTGCCTCGTTTGTGCTCCTCGCCTCTGCGATCTGGGATGTGGTTGCCACTCCCAGTGAAAGAGTGAAAGAGTGAAAGAGTGAATGGGTAGTCAACGTTTTCCAATCAGATTTTGCACACATCTGCCAGGCCCTTCGGGGTAGGCACGGGGTCTGTGTGTCTAAGGTCAGTTTTGTGATTCTGGATCTACGGATCGTTTCACATGCTCCCTTGAGGAGCCGTCTATCTGCGGATGGATGTAGAGTGCACGCTTGCTAGCTACTGGAGCTTGCTGCGTTGTGAAAAAAAAAAAAGTGTGCCCCTAAACCCCAAACTCTAAACCTTAAGCCCTAGACCCTAAACCTTACGCCCTAGACTTTGCTTCCGAAACGCTAAGCCTTCAGTCTTTGTGCCCTCAAACGGCTCCTCGAGGAATCCCTGCAGAACCCTTTTATAGGGATTTGCCCGAAGGAAAATGGCACTGGCAGAGCCCCAGCGCTTCGAAGCCGTGGCCGAGCGCCGCGCGCTTTGGGGCAGAGGGGCTTTGGGGATATAGGGTTTGGGGTGCAGCGTTTGGGGTGTAGGGTTTTGGGTGTAGGGTTGGGGGTGTAGGGTTTAGGGTTTGGGGTTTGGGTTTTGGTTTAGGGTTTAGGGTTTAGGGTTTAGGGTTTAGGGTTTTGGGTTTTGGTTTTGGGTTTTGGGTTTAGGTTTGGGGTTTAAGGTTTCGGTTTAGGGTTCAGGGTTAAGGGTTCTAGAAGTGGGGTTTAGGGGGTGTTATGGTGGGTGGTAGAAGGGTAGTTTCTAGCGGTAGAGTAGGCGTTCTGTGAGGGTAGCTGAGTTGTATACAGGGGTATGAAACTATAGGGGTATTCTAAGGGTAGAACATGAACCTTAAACCCTCAAAACGTTAAGCCCTAAAAGCGCAGAACCCTCATGCCCCTGATGCCTTCAACCCTAGGGATGGTGAGCCTTAGACACCCAGGAAAAGGTAATATAGAAACTTAAACAATTACCTGTGCTATTTTGGGGGTTCCCTATTATAAATATAGTATCAAGGGCCCCAAACCCTTGACCCCCGAAACTCCTAAACATTTTTAAACAACCCTGAAACACCCCAAGAACCTCGAGCCCTCAAGCCCCCATTTCCAAGATGTGACAGTGCCCTCCCGGCCCCAATTTTTTTTCAAACTGCAACGGGCATCATCCTTCATAAGGGACCGCAGCTCTGCCTTCACAGCACTTGTCAAGGTCACCCGCAACAGCCTCCATGCCTAGCAGCGAAGTGCGACGCGCTGCTTTTGAGGCACGAGTCGGGAATCTTGGGACGGGGTAAGGTGGACGGTTGAGTGTCGGAGCCTGAAGCCTTTATATCAAACCCTAATATACCCAAAGCCCCAAACCTAAACCCTAAACCCTAAATCCTAAACCCCCTAAACCCTTAGCCCTGGACCCAAGGCCCAAACCCTGGCCTGCTAATCAAGGCATGCTGTCCCAGTCCCACTTCAGATCCACAGCTCCATACTTGAAGTAAAGTCGATTACCCCAAAGAGCCCAATAACCCGTAGTTCAGGGAGATGCCTGAAACCAGAAGGTGTTTTGCATCATGGCGGTTTATATACTATTCATTGCCGTTCCTGGGTGTAGCCCCAAAGCTCTATTTAGGCCCGTGTACTCAAAACTTAGGCTCCGAAGTCAGAAACTGCGTATCCTAGCCCCCAAACCCTGAAATAAGAAGCCCTGACACCCTAAACCCCTAAACCCTAAACCCTAAACCCTAAACCCTAAACCCGAAACCCTACACGCCAAACCCTAAACCCTAAACCCTAAACCTTAAACCCTAAACCCTACACCCTCAGCTTTGGCCCTGAGCCCTGAAATTTTGAGCCTTGAAGGGTTCTCGCTAGGCTCCCGAGCCTGGGTCGCGAAGCCACGCTGGAGGAGGGGGCAGCGGGTTGGCACAAAAGAAGTAGGGTTTGGGGTTTAGGGTTTGGGGTTTAGGGTTTAGGGTTTAGGGTTTAGGGTTTAGGGTCCAAGTTGGA